CTATGTGTTTCTTGCTGAGCATACTCGGCCTGGTTTGAGAAACTTGAGTCATTGGCTTGCACTTGCTAGTATCAAGAACCCCCACGATATTGAGATTGGTCCCTCAATATCGCTAGATGATAGCTTACCGTGTCTGCCAAACACCCTCGCTATCATGCCCTTTGTGTTAGTCTCATTTTGGTCCCAAATGCTATTTATAGAAAGTGTCCAGATTTGCTCATTTGGCATATCTGCGGAATGTAGAGATTGTCTTGAATACAATGGTGTTCGTCCCATGCCCAAATTCGCAATCTAGGGACATTCCATATTTAGTAAGTTTCGAGTTTGTCTCAGAGACTAACTCCTGATACTAAGGGAGGCTTGGGGTGAAAGCCCAAAGCGTGTGTTCCTCAAGGGGGGGGGGGGGCTGTGGGGGTTCCAAATGTATAGTAAGGATAGTGGGTAGGTTGGGCATGGCTGACCAACCTGAGGCATAGTCTAGCTCCCGCTTGCGTGCCTATCCTTGTTCTGCGTCCGGCTTGGGTCTAAGCCCAAGTTCCATTCCATGCTAGTTGGTGGAGTACCCATATCCTCACGTTAGGCCACCGATATGCCGAAATAGCGCCAGACTCCATTTGGCTCCGTTTTGCATGCTGGTCCTGGCATTGGGATGTTGGTTGCTCCAGGACTGTTCCAAGTCGCTCTGGGCTCCTGTCCCTTCGCTCCTTGGGCTTTATGCTCGGGAGTTGCTCCGTGGTTCGGTTCCGACACTCCTTGGCTCCATGCTTGGGAGTTTGGCACCATTCTATCGTTAAGTGGCCCAAGGCCCTGAACCTCGGGTTCTTATGGACACGTGGCATGGACATGTGGCATGTGACACGTGGCATCTGTCACGTGGCACAAAGAGGGTTTAGGTTCCACTTCGTGGTGTTATCCTATGGTAAATCACCATAGGATAAAGGGTCAAAACCACGTGCGCTACACATATAAAGTGTTGACCAGCATTGACACTCAACCTTTTGCAATGGAGACCCTCTGAAGGTTTAATGGAGAGCGTATGATGACAGTAGGCTTGACTATTGGCGACTTCAAGTTGTGATTCAAGCTTATATTTGAATCTCTCTCTCTCTCTCTCGGGTTTTGTGAGCTATGGTGTGTGCTCTTGCCAATCCCTGGCAAATTTCTGCACAACGCCCTTCTTTTCTTGCTGTGGCTGCTGGTTTGCTGCCTGTTTTGGGAATTGAGATGAGTTGCGATGCCATTGGAGCTGTTGTTGTTAGTGGATTTTCTTGTAGTGAGATAACTTTGTATCTGGTCACTAGCGATGGAAAGATTTTGGGAGAGTCACTGAAATCACAAGTACTTTTTTTTTCTTTCTTCTTCATATTTATTCTATTTTGTTTTGTTCCTTTGGATTCAAGGCAAAGTTCCTTTGACAATATGGTGGTGTGATGTCTCTAGCAATATGTTTAAACCACAAGCAAGCAATTGATGAAGTAAGTTATTCTCTTTTCAATGGAAGTTTCGAGAGTTTTTTTATGTTCTTTAGGTGGTGGCACAAGTTCTAGAGAATGCAAAAGTGAAGGAGTCAAAACTTGCAATAGTAGTTGTGACAATTAGTCCTAGCTTGAGTTTATGCTTGGATGGTAGTGTTCTTTGTGATCTTTCCTAGGCTTATTGTCATGCCTAGTCAATGTGATGCCCAGCATCACATTAAAGAATTGCTTGGCATGTACTTTTCAACCATTGGCACCAAAGGAGGGACATTCATGGTTCACATGCTTTTCATTGTGGCAAATCTATATAGTCATTAGGATAGTAAGTTTTTTACTTTCTTTACCAAGTGAATTCATGGGTGTAGAGATTGGCCAGATTCTGACAATAGGTTTTATCTCTTGCTAATTGTGCTGCCATGGTGATGGAAGTGTGGTATCAAAAGATTTTGGGTTATCCAGGTGGCAATATATAGTGCGCTTGCTAATCTAACCAATGACAAATTGTACCTATGAGGTGATAGATTATGTATGTCTTTGGTGGCATTATCAGATCAAAATCCAAAACTAGTAGAGATTTCAATTTTGTTTAATGGGTTACTCAATTTTTTTTATGTGAATAACTTTATTTTTAACGCTTTATGAATAAAATAATCAACTTTAAGTAAAATTATTCTGTTTTATAAAGTATTATATTTTAGGTCAAAATTAACTTTTATAATTTAATTTAACAGTATTTACAAATATAATAAGAAAATTATATTCTGTACAGATAGTCTGTCTAAATATCACTAAAACATATAAAACCCAATACCAAGTGATGGTATATCAAATGTGGGTTAATTTAATTTTTGAATATGTAGGACTATGATAAAAGCTTCAACTATTAATACAAAAAAATTAAACAACTTTAACAATAAGAGTATATATTATAGTTTTATATATAGCCTTAGCTACATATCTTAAAACTAAGATAATGTATGCAGTATTTGATTAAACAGTAATATTTTGAAATCTTTTTCCTAACTACAAATATAGTTTACTACTGCATAATACTATAGAATATAGGATTTTAATTTATAGTTTCCATAACATATATATTACAAATAATTATTTTCTTGACTGAATCTGGGTTGTAATATATTAATGTTCCTAAAAGCTTATTATTTTATATTCTAAGTAAAACTCATAATTAAGTAATGTCTTGCAGTAATTATTCTCTTTTATTTGATAAAATCTCAATATAAGTTTATCTCAAGTAAAAATATAATTTACATATAACATATTATTAATAATAGAAAATTCATTTTACTTTTATCTGGGTCAGATATGTTTTTAAATATATTCATATTTCCAAATAAAAAGTTTTATCTAATATTTTTATTAATGAAAATTTATTTTTACTTATACCTAACAATATATTTTGTTCTAAATATTTATATTATCAAGTTTACAAGAATTAGATTTTGTATTCATCTAGCATTTCTTGGGCATAATTTCCTTCAATTATTTTTTCAAAGTGAAATACAATATTTTTTGTTTTGATACTATTCCAATTTAATTTTTAATATATTAAAAAATTAGAACAGCATTTTGCTAACTACACAGCATATGCTGAGCAAGTGTTAGTAAATAATGATAGCAAATACACCCCAATAAATATAAAAAGATGTCATGTATGTGGCACTATCTCTCCTTTTTATGTCAAACATTGAATGCTAAATGAAGTGATATAGATATTGTTGATAGAAATCCAACTATGACTAAGATGAAAAGTAATCTCCCAAGTATAATCACTAAGAGAATACCCAAACTAATTCATTAGATAATAAAGCTTGCAGTATTGGTATTTAAAGTTAAGGATGGTAACGAACTCAAACTTCAATTGCTAGTAATGACCTATGGTGGAACATAAGTAAAATCATAAAGAGTGTGATATGATAATAATAAAGAAATATAAAATACCAAATGCAACTTTGTGGATAGAGCCAATAAATGATTTAAGAATGTGAAAGACCATAGAAAAAAGATCAAAACATTGATAATCCAATTTTTTAAATGAGTTCAATGATGATAAAGAAACAAAACTTAAGATCTATTGGAAAAGAAAGGCTAAATAGTTATTTACAGTATATCAATCAGTAATTTGGACATAAAAAAGATGTCACAGTGATTATAAGTGCTTTAAATAGTGTCAGGCTTGGTGGTCAAAAATATCATCCCATTTTTGCATTGTGAAAAAAAAAAACAAATGGAAAATTTGATGTTCTTAGTTGACATAGTGTTCTCACTTATCATTTTGGGGGACCTTGCTTTCAACTTTCAATATCAAATTTCCTTGAATTTTCTTGGTTCCAAATTATTTCTCTTACATAATTCTTTACTTTTATAGTGTATGTGATTTTCACCCTTTACTTTATGATAATTTACCATACAGAGTAAACAAAGGGTGAAAGAACAAAACCATGGAGTGACATTGAAATAATATTAAAGCATTCAACTCTTAAACACCACTAACACACAAAATAGAGCCTAACAAAGTTTAATGTTATTTTACAATATCAGCAGTTTAATGTGAGGATATGAATATTCCACCAACTAACATAGTATAGAGTTTAATTTAAACACATAATAAGGACAAATATGTTTAGTAGGGAGTTAGGCAATGTTTGAGATTAATCAGTCATGCTCAATTTACCCACTATTTCTACTATACATAATATATATACCACACAACCACAAACTTAGATAAAACAAGCCTTCAACAGCTAGTGTGGTTCATTCTACTATATTTACCACATATTTACAAGTGGTAAATACTACATAAGTTATTGAAATTGAACTCTACTCCCCTAGGAAGAAAATATAGAAGGGCTATTGTGGCATATTGAGCAATGGGACACTATTTGCATTTTACTGAGAGGAAGCCAATCCTCTAGTTTGAGAGGATGTATTGAAACAATGGAACATGCATTACATCACTGCCTAACATACACTCATATCTGCATAATTCCCAATGAATGCATCAAGTCTCACAGCACTCCTAAACCACCCAAAGGCTAGGCTAAGGAGTTGGCAACATTTCTAGTTGATATCATACAGCAATTCCAATTTGATTAATAACTCTATGTAAAAGATATAAATAGATCTTCCTCTTCCTCCAATTATGGATCTTTGGCCTTGAGTAGAGCCAACATAACACCTTACACTACATAACACTCCAATTACAAGTCAAAACATTTATATCTAGTCATTCTATTACAACTTAAGTATGCGAGCTGTACAATTGTTTATTGCTAATGCATATGTTAATTAGTAATAACAATTATATATTACTCTAAATTACTTCTTCTTAGATATAAATTAGACCTCCATCCCTTCACAAAATTTAGTATATTCAAGCTTCTTAATTTTTATCATTAGTTCATTATGAAAGCAAACCAAACATTGGTACTCCACATCAAGTTATTTGAAGCACATAAAAGCACTTAGTTATGCTTATAAACAAACACAAGAATTTAAACACTAGTTAGTGAACCCTCATATCATGTTTATATTTAAATATCGAAAGCAATCAAGCAAATGTTTAGCAAGTCAATTTTGACTTTGTAGACCAGCCAAATTTCTCAAACAGGCTCAAGACAACACCATTGCTCCATCCAAAGCCAGTCTACAAAACATTAAACCAAGTACGTAAGTGAAAAAACTGTTTATGCACAAACCGGAGGATTGTACTCTCCACCAAGACCACTCCTGCCACAGTATCTCGCGTCTAACTTCTCCAGCATCTTCCCAACCCTTTGGAATTCCGCATAGCTCGACTTTAGCCAGCGCTGGGATATATCCTCCGCCAGGGCCAACCCTTCCACAGATCTAGCACCAGCAAATCCTTCTATTATAATATGCTGGAGATTGGGCCAAGCATTCGGGTAGTCCCTGTTACATTTCATCCAACATTACTATATGTCTTAATAAAAGAGTCGACTAGTAACTTACCATTGCTCTCCTGTTTCTCTCAGTGAGGTGACCACACCCGCAGCTAACAGCAGCCCCGATTTCTTAAAAGAAGAGACGAGCTTCGAAACTTTCTCATCGCCTGAAATGATAAATATATTGTTTAGAAAACAGGAAAAAAAACAAAACAATCGAATACGTTACCTGGTCGCACCACTCCGCACCAAAGAGGGAAAAAGTTGGAAGGAAAAACATCAGTGTTTTGGTTCTGTTTGTCGAAACTGTAGATCTTTTGCTGCTTGAATTCAATGTCTGTGGCATTGCGTTTCACCAGCCAGTAGTCGAGGTATTGTCCCATTTCTTCGTTCCAAAACACGGCATTTATGGCAGCTTTTCTCGACGTTGCATGCATGTGAAATCGCCTTTGGAGCTCTTTCTTTCCTAAGAGCTTGGCAAAATACGCGATATTGTTTTCCATCTACAGCAAACGAAAGATGCTTATCAAATATATTTTACGCTAAACAGAGCTGCTTGCCTGTAGCAAAAACGAGTTGAGATCCACAGGAAGAATATAGGCCGTCACAAGTGTTGTTCGGTTTAGGCGATTCCTGAAATATTAGAAAGAACCCTGGTGAAAAAATGAATAAAACCTTTTTGTATGCAACGATTTATGACACTTACGCCATCCAGCGGGAGCTGAAATCCCAGCCACTTTCAGCAGCGGTCGCGATTTGGTGGTAAAGCTTGGATTTTTCCTGCGAACTTCCCAAGTTCTTGGCAGTGTCAGTGTCAACAATATACGATTCTGGCCTTGGCGAGTACAAATTCGCGTTGTATCTCGTTAGTACGTGCTTAACCCCATGACCATCGCGAATGTGGACTGTGAAACGATCTAGAGATGTCCAAATGTAAAAAAGATTAAAAGAAAAACACAATACAAGAACTTAAAGCTGCTTGCCTGACGACCAAAACGAATGTTCTTTTAAGAGTGCAGGAAAAGCTTCCTCTATTAGCGATTTATTCTTGGTTTCGGCGTATACTGCCTTGACGGATTCGCTGAGAAGCGGAGGCTGGCTTCCTGCATAATTATACAACGTAAGCTCGAAACGAAGGAGAGAAACAAAATGGCTAGAAATAGCTTACGATTGAGATAATAGCTCCGAGCACCATTGGGAACAAATCCGTAAGTATTGACGAGGTAAATGAGATTTCCGACAACCGATGTGGCTGTTTCATACAATTTGCTCACGAGAAGTCCCCTGGAAAATGAAGAAGAAAAAAAAAAGAGATTACACATACCAAAAAAAATAAAGAAAAGTTGTGTACCTGATGATCCAGTAAGTGTCCCAGTAGTAAACTTCGCGAAACCTCGATCCAGGAATCACAACAACGTTTGGAAGCGGGAGCAAAGTATGGCGCTGTGGTTTCTCGACCACCTCGCGCTTGATCTTCTTTGCCAAAACTTTCCACAGCGAATGTATTTTTAGAGCGAATTCCCGAGCCGAGGCATCCTTGACTTTGGGAAGGAACCTTTCGGGGGTGTTTGCAAAGTCCGAGAGATTGTAGTCTCCCAGGTCAGTCCCTGGCACGTTGAAATGCTCGCTTACAAATTCATTAAACCTTCCTGTCGAGTAGCAATGATAGGAGCGAGAAAACAAAAGATGAAAAAGTTTTCGCGAACCTTTATCAATGTTGCTGCGGGAGAGATTCACAAAAGCCGATTTTGTGACCTCCAAGTCCTGCTTGAGCGGCAGATCGACGTAGTACTTCGGATCAAAGGTCCCGTTTTCATTGCCCAGGACCTGAAAGGCGGTGGACTGCACAGAGGTAAGAAACGATTCCAGAGGAGTCGTATCATTGATGCTAGCTCCTGCGATGGATCACAAAACTTTGAGCGATATCTTTGAGGAAAAGAAGCACACAAGCAAAAACTTCGAAGAGTACCTGAGATGGATCCTGGCAGGAGCAGTAGCAGCAGCAGCGCAAACAAATCCAGAGCTCTCAACGCCATCGCCATTGCTGATACCGTCCTTGCCATGGCCGTGACAAACTTTAGTCCAAATGGAAGGACTAAAGCGTCGGAGCTTCGCTGCAAATGGTATAACGTCAGAGCGGCCGCCTTGGTACACGAGTAAATCTTGGAGCGACGTGTTGGTGTCAACCATGTGTTCCAATCTCGTGGCGTAGATGGTCGCTCTCGCTCTAAAAAAAAAACGTGTTACAACTTTGGCTCGTCCTTGAGAACTTTTATCGCGAATTATAGTCTTTGCTGAGTTTGAAGTCTTTGAGGAAACACGATTCGTCCAGAAAGCAAAAGAAAAACACGCTGGAACGAAGAACTCAATAAAAATCCAAGCAAAGATCTATCCGTACACTAGATTGGACACGATTCATCCAGAAAGGTTTAAAAAAAACCATTCTGAAACAAAGAATTCAAAGACCAAGTGATAAATCTGAGCAAGGATAAGCAAGGATTATCTATATTGGTTCGTCCAAAAAGGAAAAGGAAAACAAGCTGGAACGAAGACTTTCAAAGACTAAGTGATAAAAATCCAAGCAAGAATTTATCTACATTAAATTGGAACTAACAGTTGACACGATTCATCCAGAAAGGAAGAAAAAACCATGCTAGAAAGACCAAGTGATAAATCTAAGCAAGGATTTATTGGAACTCGAGAGGAAGAAAAACACTACATTGGGAAGAAAAAAATAATGCTGGAACGAAGAATTCAAAGACCAAAGCAAGGATTTATCTACATTTGACACGATTCATCCAGAAAGGATGCTGGAACGAAGAATTCAAAGACTTGAAGCAAGGATCTAGGGAGAGGAGAGTCACCTCGCCACATAAACCCTAAAGCGCGTCACCGTCCACGTGTCCTCCATCCAACGGGCACCGTGTTTGAGCGACTCCCATTGGCCGAGAGTCACAGGCTTAGGCGTGATTGGTCCACGTAGACAAAAGTGACAGAATATCCGAGGAATAACCATTTTTTGTGACCTAGGAGAAATCGCGAGGGAAGGCGCCATCGATTTTGCTGCGCGATCTCTGCCTGGTTTGTAAGATTGTAGCTTGGGGCGATCCATCAATCGCGAAGCTTTCGACGCGATCGACAGCTTTGGATTGGTGTATGAGACAGCGGAGCTGTGAAGAATGAGGATCGCGCAAGCCCTTTTCATTGGGCTGATCCTTTTCACAAGCTCATATTCTTCGCTCGCTGGGTAAGTTCTTCTCCTCCAAATCCAAGTCTTAGAGAGATTCTTTGGATTTTCTTCCAGGAAAAGCTACTATGAGATTCTCGAGGTCTCCAAATCCGCGTCAGAGAGCCAGATAAAGCGCGCTTACAGGAAGCTCGCTTTGAAGTATCACCCGGACAAAAATCCCGGGAACGAGGAGGCAAACAAGAAATTCACAGAGCTCACGAACGGTAAGCACTGCGAATGTAGTGTGATTTTCTTATGCTTGGCTATGGTTTTTTAGCATATGAGGTGCTTATCGATGAGGAGAAGCGCCAGATATATGATAAGTTTGGAGAGGAGGGTCTAAAGCAAAACGGTGGTGGTGGAAGAGGTGGTGGAAACTTTGCTCGGGATATTTTTTCACAGTGAGTTTGTCGATCGATCTAGAAGGAGAAATTAACGTTTCGGTATGCAGGTTTTTTGGTGGCGGAGGATTTGAGGAGGAGAGTGAAGAAAAGACTCCAAAAGGAGACGATGTGATTGTAGAACTCTATGCCACATTGGAGGATTTGTACATGGGAAATACTTTTGAGGTATGCTTGAGTTTTTAGCCCTTCTTGAGAGTGAGAATGCTTGTTTTGTTGGAAACCAGATGTGGCGAGAAAAGAATGTTTTGAAACCGGCACCGGGGAAACGGCAGTGCAACTGTAAAAACGAGGTTGTACATAGACAACTGGGGCCTGGAATGTATCAACAATTTACACAGCAGGTATTTTGTTCTACGAGCCTTTACAAGAGATCGATTGTCTTTGTTGTGCAGGTTTGCGAACAATGTCCCAATGTCAAGTTTGCTCGCGAAGGCTACCACATCACCGTTGATATAGAGAAGGGAATGAAGGATGGACATGTGAGTGCGTTTTTTTTTTTTCTTTCATTGATCAATGTCTTTTTTTTTCTACATAGGAAATCACGTTTCATGAGGATGGCGAACCGATAATTGATGGAGATCCAGGCGACTTGAAGGTCCGAAGCGTCTTTTACTTCTTTCCAAAATCCAGTGTTTATTTGGTTTCTTGTGCAGTTTGTTGTGCGTACCGAGAAGCACGACCGGTTCGAGAGACATGGAAACAACCTTCACACAGCTGTTACCATTTCCTTGGTAGGCTAGAAGCTAACCATTCACAGTCTAGATTACTGACGAAATTCTTTGCGGCAGCTTGAAGCGTTGGTTGGTTTTGAAAAGGAGATCAAACATCTCGATGGCCACGCCGTTAGCATCGGTAGTACGGTAAGAACGCAAACTCCACTACAAAACTAATGGAGCTAACTTGGTCGGACTGCTGTCCTCAGGGTGTTACAAAGCCGAAAGAAGTTAGGCGATTCCGCAGCCAAGGCATGCCCATTTTTGAGAGTGTAAACTCGGGCGACTTGCTTGTTACATACGAAGTAGATTTCCCAAAGACATTGACAGACGCTCAGAAGGAAGCAATCAAGAAAGTTTTCAGCTGAGGTAATCCTTCACAGTTTTATTAGAGGCACAGCCACAGATCAATCAAGGCTCGTGAACGTAGCTACCAACGCGGATCATGACGCCGTCTATATCTCTCACATATCCAACCTTCTGACCCCATTTTTTCTCCTCAGGCTTAGCAACCGAGACCGCTCCAGCTCGAACAACATGCTACAAAATCGAGGAATTAAGATCTAGAAAGGGGAAGAACACAAGAACGCAAAAGAAGGAGAAGAGAGGCTACCTCGTATGCCGCATCAACGTCTTGGTAGCTAAAACTTATCTCCACATTGTGGCGTGGCTCGTCCTTAGAAGCTGTTTGGACACCTCCAGTTATAGCAGTCTCGTGTTGCTCTAGAGGAGTGAAAGACAGCGTTGTAGAGCCCGTCTCGAGCTCGGCCCATCTAAAGATCAAAAACAAGCTCACAGATTTTTAACACCCAAGCATCTCTAGAACTTACTTGCGAGTGTTGTCAATGCGACGAACTTTGAGCCCAAACGCTTTGGAGTAGAAATCCACCGACTTGGTCACGTCCTTGCAGTAGATGGTGATGTAGGCGAGCTTTGGAGGCGTTGCCATGATAATCACCAGGCAAAGAGGAAACTTGCAATGCTTGAGAGTTATATTGTGAAGCATGCATGCACAAGACCTACGTGGCGGGCGGGATGTTTGACAAGTGGGTGGACGTGCCGGAGTGGTTATCGGGCATGACTAGAAATCATGTGGGCTTTGCCCGCGCAGGTTCGAATCCTGCCGTCCACGGCCATTTTATTTAATTTCTTTAAAGTCGTAAAATAAGGCCATCTATAAAAAAAACGCTTTTAGGGATCAAACCCTCTGAACTCATTCATTGAACTCTTAAATGATGAGAGTAGAGAGAGTCATATTAAGAGGTTTACTCAAAGTTTTATTAGATATTATTAAGATACTATAAATTCATGATTGTATTTATTTTCATTTTTATTTTATATATTTTTTAAATACCTTAATTTTTTAGGTGTACATACAAAATCCCTAGGCCCTAAAGTGGAGCCAAAAGGGTGCCACGTGATAGTGGCCGAAATGAAACGAAAGCTAAACAAATATAACACGTTTGGACTAAAAACTCTGACTTGAAAAGGTCGAAAGCAAGAGTGGAACTCTTAACGAAAGGCTCGAAGAACAAGCATGAAGCAAGCAATGAGTGAGTCTCTAGAAAAAGGACACAAGAGGACCAAAACATGACACGTGGAAGAGTCCGAGATGGAGTTTGAGATGAACCCGAGATGGAGTTCGAGATGGACCCAAGATGGAGTCTGAGATGGAACTGGGACTGAGACCAAGACTGAGACCGAGACCAAGTCCGAGTCCAAGACCGGGACCGATACCGAGTCCGAGTCTGAGTCCGAATACTAATACAGGCAATTGGGTGAAAGCCCAAAGCGATTGTCCCCCAAGCTGGGGGGGGGAATGCAGGGGGTTCCAAAAGTATAATAGGGAGAGTGTGGAGCCAATTTGGCCCAGGAAGGCTGTACCCAGGTGTTGGGTGATGAGCTGACCACTGGGAAGTCCAAGACTAGAGTGAATAAGGACCGACAAGTGGGGTAGCTTAGTAAAGTGTTCAAGAGTCGGCTCTAGTTCCCCTGGGAAATCGAATGGTCGATGCTCCTAATCCAAGTGTGGGTGGCACTACCTACTTGGATACCTGGCGTGGCTCAACAGAACTTCGCTTTAAACCCATGGCTAGAGCACCTAAAGGCAAAAGGCGGGGAAAGTACTTATGAGGCCTGTGTAGAGCCACGGTGTTCTGAAATGTTGTCCCAAAATCCTAGACTGTGGAAAGGAAGAGGAGTAGCCCTCTGGTGTGGTGACCAAGGACACAGTCACACAGTGAGGAAGTCCCAGAGGACAGTGGGACTTAGTGGTCGAGCCTGTGGGCCTTGATTTAGTGGCAGTGTTGGCAAATACAACCATGGACAGAAAGGGACTTGGTAGAGACTGGAACGGAGATATTGGGGAAGGCTATTTCCCATGTTTGCAGACATCCTAAGGATGCTAAGGAGTGGATCTGGGATGACCACTCATGGTCAGATGGCCTAGTCTTTGAGAGAAGGGATTGCAATGTAGGTGGTGTTGGACCACTGATGTGACCAAGATGAATGGGCATGGCTTAGCGTAACGGGTTGATATGTCAATGGTACCTTGGGGTGTCAGTCATAAGATCGAACACGTGGAGCACTTGGACCAAATGCAAAGGTTGAGTGGTATGGATGCCATTCTCGGGGTTAGCAAGCCCTAAGTCCTAAATTGGACTTATGGAGGTTGTGAGTGAGACTCCTCCAAGTGGCTAGAGAGGTGGTTAAGTGTCTAAGAAAATTTAGTTGCTTACAATTTGGTATTGGAGCCGTTCCTTAGTCTGACTTTTATTGGTGCTCGAGTATATCACCACTGGTGTTGGCATTGGAAGGTCGTAGAAGTGAGCTTATCCTTGAGGAGTAGTAAGTCGGGAAGACATAACTCTCCACTACAGTTCATGTGTGAATTTATAGATGAGGTGGTGGATAGAAAAGGGCCAATAATGGAACGACTTTGGGATCTTGTGAACAGTATAAAGCTTTCCTTGGTGAGTTGAGGATGTGATCTAGATAGTGTTTGATTTAGCAAACTGGCCAATGTAGTTGTGGTAAACAACTGTGGTTGGGATCATGGGAAAGATAGAGACTCCAAAACTATAAAGGAGTTACAATATTATCCTCATATAGTTGAGGTTAGTTCTCATGAATTTAAGACCGGAATTAAGGACCTTGAGAGGTTAAATACGGATGAGGAGATGAGTCCTTGAAATGGTAGTTGAGGCTACTCTTTATAAATGTTGGAACAAACCCAAGGAGTTGGGGGTGTGCTCAGAGAATGAGTCGGTATTTTCATAATATGGACAAATAGTCTTAAGGGGCAAAGGTAACCGACATAGAACAGAAAATAATCAAGTGTTGGAGTAACACTTGCAGATATGGTCCTTATGAATAGGACATAAATACACAGAGTTGTATTCAAGCAAGCTGACACTTCAAAAATAGGACCTCACGGGTTATTGGATTAGCAAAGTCCAAAAATGTTAGGTGACTCAAGTAAAGTCAAGAAATGGTCATAAGGGATTGGTACAAGCATTTGAACTGAGGTGTGTTGTGCCCCACGATGGATGGGGGGGGGGATCATAAGATCCAAATATGAGAATAGTGGGTATCTCATGGATAGCAGAATGTGCCATACCAAAGTCGTAGGAAAGGTGTTCCTAGAAGAGAACAACTTTGACATAAGTTATGCATAAACTCTATAGTGTAGTGCTAATGGATAGTTGGCATGAAAAAAAATTGCATTGGTCTTGGCAAGGACCTAGACACAAAAAAAAAGTGTCTTAAAGGTAGGCTCATAGAGTCGATGGTGTGAAAACACCGAATGTGCCAAAGTGTAATGCCTTGAGATCAAGTTAGCGGGTTCATGAGAACCTCTTTCCAAAAGAATCCTAATGGAAATAGGAATGGCATGGCTTAAACTGGAATGCATGCGGTTAGAGTGTGGTGACCCAAATAATGATGGAGGTGTGAAAGCACCAATAATGAGTTGTAGGACTTGACAACTATAAAGCAACTAAACAAAAGGTGCAAAATAATTGGTTAAACAGGTAAAAGGTAATTACCCAAAACTTCTTAATAGCATATGAAGTTAGATATGCCCTTATGGTAGATAAATTGCTTATGTTGCAATTGTGAGACACAAAATCCCTAGGCCCCAAAGTGGAGCCGAAAGGGCGCCACGTGGTAGTGGTTGAAGCGAAAGCCAAACAAGCATAACATGTTTGGACTAAAAGTTCTGACTTGAAAGGTTGAGAGCGGGAGTGGAACTCCCAACAAAGTGCTCAAGGAATGAGCACGAAGCGAGCAATAAGCGAGGCTCTAAAAAAGGGACCCAAAAGGACCAACACATGACACGTGGAAGTGTTTGAGCTGGACCTGAGATGGAGTCTGAGATGGACCGCAATGGAGTCCGAGATGGAGTCTGAGATGGATTTGAGATGGAGTCCGAGATGGAGTTTGAGATGGAGTTCGAGATGGACCCGAGATGGAGTCCGAGATGGACCCAAGATGGAGTCCGAGATGGAGTCTGAGATGGACTCTGAGATGGACTCGAGATGGAATTCGAGATGGAGTCCGAGAAGGACACAAGATGGAGTCCGAGGTCGAGACCAAGACCGAGACCGAGACCGAGACCGGGACCGAGACCGGGACCAGGACTGAGATCAAGACCGAGATCGAGATCAGGACCGAGACTGAGACCGAGGCCGAGGCTGAGGCCGAGACCGAGCCTGAGCTCGAGTCTGAGAGGGTGAAAGCCCAAAGCGTTCGTCTCCCAAACCCTAGGGGGTTTGGTGAGTTCCAAAAGTATAGTAAGGGGGAGGATTGCAGTGGAGCCAGTTTGGCCAGGAAAGGCTAGTTTGGCCCATGAAGGCTGTACCCAGTGTTGGGTGATGAGCTGCCCACTGGGAAGTCCAAGACTAGAATGAACATGGACCAACAAGTGGGGTAGTTTGGTGAAGTGTTCAAGAGCCGGCTCTAGTTCCCCTGGGAGATCGATTGGCCGATGCTCCCAGTCCAAGTGTGGGTGGCACTACCTACTTGGATACTTGGTGTGGCTCAACGGAACCTCGCTCTAAGCCCATGGCTAGAGCACCCAAAGGCGGAAGGCGGGGAGAGTACCCACAAAGCTCGCGTAAGGCCACAGTGTTCCGAAATGTTGCCCCAAAGTCCCAATCTGTGAAAAGGAAGAGGAGCCATCCTATAGTGTAGAGACCCAGGATACGGTCATGTGAGGAGGAAGTCCCAGAGGACCATGGGACTTAGTGGTCGGGCTTGTGGGCCTCGATCCAATGGCAATGTTGGCGAACACGGCCATAAGCAGAAAGGGACTTGGTGGGGACCGGAAAAGGGATATTGGGGAAGGCTATTCCCCATATCTATGGGCATCTTAAGGTTGCTAAGGAGTGGATCTAGGATGATCACTCATGGACAGATGGCCCAGTCTTTGAGAGACAGGACTATGATGTAGGTGGTGTCAGACCACCGATGTGACCAAGGTGAATGGGCATGGCCTTAGTGTAACGGGCTGATATATCGGTGGTACCTTGGGGTGTCGGTCATGGGATCGGACACGTGGAGCACTTGGACCAAGTGCAAAGGTTGAATGGTAGGGATGCCATTCTCGGGGCTAGCAAACCCAAGTCCAAAATAGGACTTATGGAGGTTGTGAGTGGGACTCCTCCAAGTGGTCGGAGGTGTGGTTAAGTGACTAAAGTAGAATGAAAAAATTAGTCTCTTACAGCAATATAATAAGTCAATGTCGTAAAAGGAAATGCTCATTATCAAGGAGGCCATCATTAGGACACCCAAACACTCTAGAACACCAGGAGGTGGTGTTTAGTGTCACAAGGGCAATAAATAAGGCCCAAGGGACTAAGTCCCTAGCGAATGATGGATAGAAGGTGCTATCCAAACGTCCAAGGTTGCAGGGACAAAAGAAAACCATCTACCCAAATTGGACAAAACCAAAATGGAATTTTGGCAAGGCTAGTGA